GGTCCTGGTTCCCCCGGGGACTCCAACCCAGAACCCTCTGGTCCTGGTTCCCCCGGGGACTCCAACCCAGAACCCTCTGGTCCTGGTTCCCCCGGGACTCCAACCCAGAACCCTCTTCCTGGGAGGCGACGGTGCTAACCACCACACCACCGTGCCGCCCTGAATTCAGCCAATTTGTGTTAGCAAATTGTAGATTCCAGGCTCTAATATTTCTGCCCTGTGTCTGTGTGGAGTTCCTGATGGAGTAGAAAAAGAATATTCTGGCTCCCAGACCATCTTATTGGCTGTTTAAACGTGTTCTGCCGAAGCTATTAAAAAATCTCGACAGAAGCCGTTTGGTTTGTGTGTTTCTTTCCAGTACGAAACTCAGGAAACTTAGACGAGATGGCCCTGGTTGCTAGGATACAGAAAGTGAGGTTGCACCAGTAATCAGTAAAGAAAACCCCCAGAGCGGCAATAAAATGAAAACCGCTAAGCGTTCGTGTCGGGAGACATCCTCTTATTGCCAAGGCTCCCACCGAACGCCACACTCGGCGGTTGCGAGTATCTGCGTACCGAAGTCGGCCAGCTTGAGCTCGCCCTTGTCGTTGATCAGGAGGTTCTGGGGCTTCAGGTCTCTGTGGAGGATTTTTCTCTTGTGGCAGTAGGAGAGGCCTCGCAGCAGCTGGAACATGAAGATCTGCAGGGCCAGAGGTGGAAAACAGGGAGAAGGAGGCAAAAATGGAGTCAGAATTATTAAACTAGTGTGATTAAAACTCGTTTATCAAACCTCTAAAAATCCCTTGTGTTCTGTATTGCACTAGAATTTAATTAAACTTAATGCTATCTACTACTTAGAAGACTAAAGGATTTACACAATCACTTTTATTTTTACAACACTTTTTACTATTTATGGTGCTACACTTATTGAATTCAGGTATTCCAAGTTAATAATTAAGTCTATCTATCTATCTATCTATCTATCTATCTATCTATCTATCTATCTATCTATCTATCTATCTATCTATCTATCTATCTATCTATCTATCTATCTATCTATCTAAATATATACTGTATATATACTATTTAGCTATTTACAATGAGCTTAAAAAGCCTGATCCAAGAATAAAACAAAACAGAAAATTACTTTTTTTTAATTCAAAGTCTTTATTAGGCCTTTTAACAAAATGTGTAAAAAGAAAAAACTGAAATACATTTTTAATAATAATTTATTACTATGCGATAGGTCCAGATTATTTTTTGTGTAGTCTTCTGCCCCCTGTTATCAGGTGTATCTGATTGTGTACAACAGGATTTTGAGCAAAGTTTTTACCATTAAATTATGCAAAAGGAGTCAGACGCAAAACATTTCAGAAACCGTACGTATCAAATATGTTACATTTGGCATTACAGGGTTAAAGCTTCATCCACAAGCCTCACCTTCACGTTGTGCATGCTCATGAGGTTTCCACAGTTGTCCAGGTAATGTTTCAGGTCACTGTCCTGAAAAATAGACCAGCACAGGTTCCGGGTTAGGATCTCCTTATCTCTGTCTGTATGTGTGTGTATGTGTGTGTGTGTGTGTGTGTGTGTCT